AGTAACATTGATACATCGATGTTTCGATGCATCGGAAATATTAACATCGATGCTAAAATACATCGCCAGAAAAACATCGATATATCGATGGTTTCCGATGTTTCCAAATTTGTTAGGTTGTAGTCACATTAAAAGAAAAATTTAATACTTTTCAATTCATACTCTCTGTAATTCAATTAGAAAAATACTCACATATGGATGTATTTCCCTGTATTTATATACCATTCCTTTGCCCTTCCTATAAATATAATAAAAAAACATGCCGTCGTAAGTTCGCTGAGCCTAAAGTTCCAAGCCCCAATTTCGTTGAAAATTCAACGGGAACCCGGTCTTTTTTTTTTAATGATTAAGTAAGCATTTTTAATGCCGAAAGATAAGAGTACACTCGGAATTTCTAAATTTTTCCCCAAAAGAATAAGTAATAAAATTCATAGCCAGTCAAAAATTTTTAGGAGCATAATGGGTATGTTAAATTCAAGTCTAAGTCACACTTAAGTCGATGTTAAAACATAGCTGAAGCTAGCATCGATGTATCGCTAATTTAGCGATTTTAGGAAATTGTAAACATCGATGGCAAACATCGAATTTCGAACCGATATTATCGATGTTTCAAAAATATCGATGCATCGTTTACATCCATAGTTGCTGGCAAATTACTGGATAATTTGTAAACAAACACAACTATAGTCATTCATTGCTTTTCACATAGTTTATTAGGACTTTTCATTATTCAAAATTGATAGAAATGTATATTTAATTTTGGTCAAAAGAATTGTAAACAAATTTTCTAATACAGCGTTGCAAATATGACGTCGCCAAAAAACCTATGCAACAAGTAATTTTTAAGCAAAAAACAAAACCGACTTCAATTCTCTTATAAAAATTTAAATAAAATTAGTATGGGACCACCCTTGAGGAACCACCTTTCCGANTTTTTAAGCAAAAAACAAAACCGACTTCAATTCTCTTATAAAAATTTAAACAAAATTAGTATGGGACCACCCTTGAGGGTGAAAAGATTCCGACAAACTGATAACCTCCTCCTTTTTTTTAAGTCGGTTAAAAATTAACACTTTATTTATTTATAAAGGAAAGTCGAGATTTTTTGTACGCGGTAATCACGAAAACTACTGAACGGATTTTGACGAGATTTTCTCTAATATACTCTGTATTGACAGGAGAGGGATCTTTTTTTTACTTAGAATTTTAATAGGGTTGGATTACAAAAGATGAGATGACAAATGAAAGGGATTGGCCTCTAGAAAAGCGCTAATATTTTTTTTTAATAGGGTTGCCACCTGTTAATAAAATTACCATATTAAATCATAATAAGCGCAGGCATCAGTTCTGTACCGTCACTGTCAAACGAAAAGACTTTGCCTCTGGATGTGTAATAATGCATTATTTTTCTGCATTCTTTCTGAAAGTGCATGGCCTTCGCATGTACAAAAACTTTAAGTTCTTTGAGTAGGGTTGCCACCTATTTAATATTACTATCTTCTATACAAAGTACAAAGGAAAGGCGAGATATTTTAACCACGCTACTGAACGGATTTAGACAAGATTTTGTATGTATATAATAAATACAAATATGTATAATATAAGCACATAATGACATATGATTTCCTTCTCCTGATACGTAAATGTACATACATATGCATACATTCAGCGCGTGGCCAAGCCTCGCGTATACGTGGCCGGCTAGTTATGAATGATTTATTTCCAATTTAACCATCTAAAAGTGTCACTATGGCGAAAGCTGCCCGTTTTTACTGGTTTTGCGTTCAATATATTTATGTATATTTGAAAATTTTTTCTTCCTCTAAATTTTACTCTCAATTTGGTGTTTACGTTCTCGCTGCTGGTACTTACTGGAAATGTTGTTAAACAAAGCCAATAATTCATAATTATTTGACAGTATTGTCCAGAAAAGTTGAGGAACGAATTTTTAATATTCCAGTCAAGCAGAGAAATGTGCCCAACTTGGTTTGATCCGTTCGCTTTTTGTTTCGATTTTAATGAGAGAGGACGTACAAACATCGATACGCCCGGCTCCCAAATGAAGTCCTTCATTATGAAATCGACCCTAAGTATAATAAAGTGCAAGTTTAAAGTAGCTGGGAAGATGTGCTTCATATCATCTGACATACTTCGTATGGAAGAATATGACTGGCAGTGTCAATAAAAAAAATTTCAAAAATAAACAGTAAGTCCTAGCTTCAAATTTGCCCTTTGATTTCGAGTGAGCTATAACACTGCAAACTCAAAATCTTTCTAAGAAATCTAAAAATGTTACTAAAATAATATATATCCAGTGTTATATACCTTGCCGTTGAACAACAGACCATAGGATTGCTTTTGACTGCTCTTCAAAAAAAAATATATATATATGTACGTAAAAATGTATGTTAAATGACAATTGCGTCATTACCATTCTCATCGCACCAGACGGCAGCGTTGATCCGATTCAACGCGTTAATTCGGAATTAACTGAAGTTAGTTGGGAATAAGTCTTGCAGCGAATCCTCCAAATTAATGCGGATCAAAGGAATTTCCCATGACAACACTAGCCACACGACCAGCTGTTGTCTATGGTACAAGTAAGCAAACAAACTATGTAAGCGAGTTTGCGGTTCGCGGTAGCCGAGTGGTCAGAGCTCCGTAGTACAATTTCGTAGGACGCAGGTTCGATTGATTTTATTAAAAAAGTCAACAACTATAATTAAGTACATTTGAAAAAGAAAGTAAGTGCGCCTGGGCCACAGTGGAAAAGTGAAACTTACGTTGTCTCACAACCAATATACATATGTACATACATATGTAGATACATACATATATACATCTGCTTTTGCTTAAGGTTATATTTTTTGTCTTTTTTCTATTTAGATCCCTACCTCTACCCCTGTTCGTTTTAANTACATATATACATCTGCTTTTGCTTAAGGTTATATTTTTTGTCTTTTTTCATTTTACATTTATGTTATTCTGCTTTTCCTTCTCTTCCCCGATAAAAATATCGATAACAAAATCGATAAACAATGGATAGCAAAAATCTATAAAAAGATTGATAAATAATCGATAACAAAATCGACAACAAAATCGATAAATAATCGATAGCACAATCGACAATATTGATAACAAAATTATAAAAATATCAATAACAAATTCGACAAAAATACAATATCGATAAGAAAATCGTTAAGAATGGCGATTAAAAAATCGATCACAATATCGATACAAATTTCGATAACATCGATAAAAATGATGATAACCGATAAAAATATCAATTATTATATCGATATGTCCCGAAAATCCCAAATATCCCAGATTGAGTCTCTCTATCTATATCCTTTTCTCTATAATTATCTTTATTTTAATCTTTCTTGCTCTATCTTCATCTTTACTTTTGTCGATATGTATCCTCATCCTTATTTATGTTTGTCATTTTCTTCATCTACATATCCCCCTTCACCTTTGCCCTTATATAAGTAAAGTGTTTAAATTTAACTGGGTCTTCATTTTGCCTTTATCTTTATGCATCTTTGTTTTTGTTTTTATTTTTACCTTGCCTTTATGCCTTTATTTATCTATGTACGTACTCACCGTTTCTTTCACTCTTGTGTTGGTCTTTTTCTAAGTGTTATTCTTTAACCTTTTATTACAAGTTTTTGTTAAATTCATACCACGTGCATAAACTCAAGTAGCACTTGTTTCAGCCCCAACCATTTCCGTTGCACCATTTCCGTTAAATTTGCCTATTTACTCCCAACCAACCAACCGCCGCAAAAGAAGTTTCACTTCAAGAAATTACGAATGGCCGTGGATCTCGACCACAAACTCGTGGCTCGTTAATCCGCATTATTCAAGGGAAGAATTTTGATCAGAACAACTGCGCCATCAATCCAAATCAACGTTGCCGCCTGTCTATGCTTTTACTGATATCTGCCTATCTGTTGCTGGCGGCAGTATAGACCTGCTTATGAAGAGCGATGCCCAGGTTTAGGTAAATGGTTTGAAGACCTTCAGCTCTTAGCCATTCCAATAAACTGATAGCATACTTCCTATTAAAGATCTTCGACTTCTGACTTGCTTATCAGTTCAGAAATAAAATGTATTTGTGATTTGCTTCGCTGAACTGAGATGACGTGAGTTGAGGTGACTTGAGGTAAGGTAGTTGAGTTGAATTGGGGTGCATTGAGGTGTGGTGAGTTGAGGTGTGTTAAAGTTTAAACAGACGGCAGCGTTGAACCGGTTTAACTCGGACTTAATCCGGATCAACTGCAGTTAATTCCCGAGTTGGTCTGGATCAACGCTGCCGGCTGCTTATGCTTTTAGGGAGAGTTGAGATGAGTTGAGGCGAGGTGAGTTGAGGTGTGGTGAGTTGAGGTGTGTTAAAGTTTAAACAGACGGCAGCGTTGAACCGGTTTAACTCGGACTTAATCCGGATCAACTGCAGTTAATTCCCGAGTTGGTCTGGATCAACGCTGCCGGCTGCTTATGCTTTTAGGGAGAGTTGAGATGAGTTGAGGCGAGGTGAGTTGAGGTGTGGTGAGTTGAGGTGTGTTAAAGTTTAAACAGACGGCAGCGTTGAACCGGTTTAACTCGGACTTAATCCGGATCAACTGCAGTTAATTCCCGAGTTGGTCTGGATCAACGCTGCCGGCTGCTTATGCTTTTAGGGAGAGTTGAGATGAGTTGAGGCGAGGTGAGTTGAGGTGTGGTGAGTTGAGTTTAGGTGAAGTGAGGCGTTTTGAGTTTTTCGATCTGCAAAAAAAAAAAATAAATCTCAAAAGTTAATTTTTATTTCTGAGAGAAAAACTTAACGCTTAAGAAATTATTTTTATTTTCGATAAAAATAATAGAGCTCAAAGAATAGTCATTATTTTTGATGAAAAAAATAAAACTAAAAAAATAATGATTATTTCTGATCAAAAACATAAAACTTATAATATAATGATTATTTTTGATCAAAAAGAAAACAACACACAAAATAATTATTACTTCAGAGCAAAAAAATAACACTCCAAAAATGAGTTCTATTTTTGATCAAAAAGATATAACTCGATATATGATGTTTTTTTGAGCGATTAATTTAAAATCGAAATGTAATTCGTAGATATAATTTATATATATATATCGAATATATAACGAAATTTTTGAAATAATCATTATTTTCGGTCCCTGCTATAAAACATTAACGCAATACTACAGAAAAAGGCGCCTCCCTCTACTAAGATATGTACATATGTTGCTGATAATCTTAACTTCGCTTTAATCCATATCACTGAATCCAACCGTATACCAGTCATATCATCTCCATAAGCGGCAAGTGTTGTCCTTAGATGCCGTTACAATTATATCACCCGCATAGCTGAAGGCGCAAGAAAACACTTCAGAATCGTGGCCACTCAAGACTTGCGAACATTGACCTGTCTCAGTAAGCCACAAGCGCGCCGTATGATCAGCCGAGGCGGTCATTAGCAGAGCGCCTGGCGGACTGAAACAAACCTAGCATTGAA